CCTGGATTGTACAATATTTGGCCATTATTGTTTTGAAAATTCTTCAAGCTCTGTCAAGTTGGTTGTTGACAATTCCTAGACAGCCATTTTCAAGTCTTTCCATAGATTTTCAAGCCGATTTAAGTCAAAACTGTAAGTAGGCCACTCACGAATATTCAATGTTATCTTGGTGTATATTTGGCCTTGCATTTTTGGTTATTGTCCTGCTGAAAGATGGATTTGTCTCCCAGTGTCTGTTGGAAAGCAGACTGAACCAGGTTTTCCTCCTGTGCTTTGCTCTATTCCTTCTATTTTATCCCAAAAAAAAACTCCCTAGTCCTTGATGATGACAAGCATATCCATAACATGATGCAGCCACCACCATGCTTGAAAATATGAAGAGTGGTACTCAGTCATGTGTTATGTTGGATTTGCCACAAACATACTGCTTTTATTCAGGACAAAAGCTTTATTTCTTTGACACGTTTTTTGCAGTATTACTTAAATGCTTTATTGCAAACAGGATGCATGTTTTGGAATATGTTTTATTCTGTACAGGCTTCCTTCTTTTCACTCTGTCATTTAGGCTAGTATTGTGGAGTAACTACAATGTTGTTGATCCATACTCAGTTTTCTCCTATTAGAGCCATTAAATTCTGTAACTGTTTAAAAGTTGCCTGAGCAGTTTCCTTCCTCTCCGTCAACTGAGTTAGGAAGGATGCCTGTATCTTTGTAGTGACTTGGTGTATTGATACACCATCCAAAGTGTAATTAATAACCACCATGCTCAAAGGAATATTCAATAGGTGCCTTTCTTTGCGAAGCATTGGAAAACCACTCTGGTCTTTGTTGTTGAATCTGTGCTTGAAATTCACTGCTTGCCTGAGGGACCTTACAGATAATTAAGTGTATGTGTGAGGTACAGAGATGGGGTAGTAATTCAAAAATCATGTTAAACACCATTATTGCACACAGTTAGTCCATGCAACTTATTAGACTTGTTAAAGGTGCAATATGCAGAAATCGTTCCGCCATTTCCTGGTTGCTTAAATTCGAATAGTTTGTCTAATTTCAGTTTATGTGACAAAATAAGCAATGTGTAGAGAATCATTGTACCATCTAAACCGCTATGAAATATATTTTGAATAACCAAAAATATTGTACAAAACCGAAAGTAAAAGACACAGAAACAAAACTTAAGAACGGGAAGCATAGAAATAGCGCACATAGAACAGATCTCACATTTCTATGTGAATTTGGTCAGGTCAGCCAAAAAGTAACATACTGCAGCTTTAAGCTAATTTTTTGTCCTGAAGTTATTTAGGCTTGCCATAACAAAGGGATTGAATACTTATTAACTCAAGACATTTCAGCTTTTCATTTATTAATTTGTCAAATTAAAATAAAATAAAAAACATAATTCTACGTTGATATTATGGGGTATTGTGTGTAGATCAGTGACACAAAATCTAAATGTAATCAATTTTAAATGCAGGCTGTAACACAACAAAATGTGGAAAGGGATGTGAATACTTTCTGAAGGCACTCATTCATATTCTCAGAGAACTGGGGTTACGAAAGTAACCTTAAGTTTCTCACCCTGGTTCAACAACTAGGAATACCAAAAGGTATCTGGTGGATGGCCTGTCAAAGGACCTGCCTCATTAGGGACCTTTAATGACAATTAGCTTAATTTCCCTTTTAGTTCAGGAAAAATACAGCAGCTTTGTGTTACATTTTTCGAATATATCTCAACTGAAATGGCGATGGTGAGGAGTTTAATGACATCATGTCCGCCACTGGAAAGCCAGTCAAAGAGGAGGAATGTACCGAGCTAATGACAGAAGCAGACCTAAACAAAGACAACAGGGATGATTCTGATAGTAAGACACACACGTCCTCACACACAGGCTCAATTTCTCCAATGGAAATAACATTCACATTCATGTATTGTGCTAATGAAACAGAAACTGGTAGATGACTAATGGTCAATAATAACATCAACTTTGACTAGTGATTGGTTTTGGATTAACAGGGGCAAATTTGGTCGCGCAGTCTGTGGGTAACTGTTGACTGAAAACACACACACATACTATTGTTGACATATTATGTTGAATATTTAATCAGGATGTTATAGCACAAACAAGCAGGTGCACTATGGTAATGTATATAGGAACATTTTTTTCTCTTAATTATTATTAATGACCACAAGTCATGACTAAACTCAAATCCCACTGTTCTGGGTTTCTCTAGTACTAATATTCAAAAGAGAATAAAGTGTTGAGGTCTGGGATCACAGAAGAACCACACTGACATGACATATCCAATCCTTAACATGAAAGGGCTCATATGACATTCATCCTCTGGTGACTGGACACATACAGGGTTATGGGGGGATACTATATATCGTGCATCAGTAAGGGTTGTGGTTGATGATACCGTGGGTGCTATGCTATCACCGAGAGAGGGAGGTTGATTGGGGTAAGTAGTAGATGGTGGGAGAAGATCAAATTAACCCTTGTTTTCTGTGTTCCAGAATTTCTGAAAATTAACAAGACCAACATTCCTTTGTGACCCTTTCCATTTGCCACTTCTGCTTGAAGAAAATAACAACTATGTTTCTGAATGTAAAATTAAATACACACCCTCTTGAGTCTTCTCAATTACTAACAGTAAAGAGTCTAACCAAAAACACTACAGGAGAGTAAAAATGGGGTTTGAGAAAAGACAATACCTGGAGGTTCTTCACCCTATCCTAGATACTGCCCTTTTCAGTCATGTTGACTCTGTGGCTATAAATATCTGTCCAACCCTTATAAGAAGAAGGATCTTTCCCTCCTTGCCACCAAACACTTCCCACCCAGCTGTCCCCTTACACCTGTTCCCTCAATAAATGCTACACCCCTCCCACTGTGTCTCTCCTCTCGCCCTTCTTGCGTCTCAACCCTGTGCAGAGTGCTTTCAAAATAAACCTGATTTCATCTTTAACGTATGTTTCCAACGCCTTGTTGTCATGTTGTTACAGTAGACTGGATCATTGTCTACTATTTCTATATCACTCAACCATTTCTCTGTTGATCTGTATGTCAGTCTTCAGAAACTAGCTCTCACTTTCAGTTTTGGTTTTACCTTGAAAATGTGCCTAATAAGGCACTTTGCCAAACATAATGTGCCAACATCAACCCTGCCCTAATTAAAAATAATGCTCCTGTACCACTACCCCCTCTCCGGACCCCACCACAGATACTACTAGACCCCCCTGCCCCTGCCCCACCAACTCCCATGCCACTCTGTCCCCCACCCTGACTTATGACTGCAACATCTCAGGTATCCTAGCCCTCCCTCACCCCTTACCCCCATACATTCCACTTTCTCCTCCGCTCTCCTATGACCATATGACAACTATTCCCACTATACAGTCAGTGTCCTTGGTTTCTGAAAACACTTTAGTTCCAAAGTCCATAGAAAAACTGCCATCTTGATTGTCTCTGCCTAATCCTGCTGAGGTCCTTTGTTCTTGTTATTCTTGTGATTAATCTTGAAAGATTCATAGAAATGTATGAAAGACAAAGAGGCCTCCAGCATGAGGTAAAGGAGCATGCAAAGTCAAAGAAAGAAAGGAAGACTAAAAGAAAGACAGTAGGCGCAGAGAACTTTCAAAGGCCTCTAATTGCGTATATAATGCAACATGCGATAGCAATGATCTTCTCATCACTTGATTGATGTCATCCATGATCATCAAAAAAGAGCTCTCAGCACTCAACAGCAACAAGAATGCTCTGACACTGCTCTGTCTCCATGAAGAGGTCCCCAGGTTACAAATACCAGATCAGTATAGTAAGATGCCATCCCCTAGGGCTCTGACAACGCTGCCAGATGCAACAACGTATCTTGAAGGCGTCTGGAATAAGAACCTAGAGGTTTGAAATGTGTAGATAGTAGCACCTAACCGAATCCTTCTATTGGGAGATATCCTCCGCTAGCTGAGTATATAGCCATTAACCCCGCCACCACTAACAACATCCCACCCCCTTCTACCCCGGGAAACCCCTCCTCATAATATCCCTGTATCCCACCCCTCCTCCGCCCTCTCCAACCCCAGGCCTTATCTCTACGCAGGAAACATCCACCATACAAGGACAGTCAGGTCTAGAGTGGTTGGCCTGTTTATTGGATATAATACTGTGATTAAGGGCGGTCTCTGCCCTGTCCCCGTACAACCAAATATCATCTGCTATTCAGGGCACAGCACAGCCAGCTTCCAGCTCTGCAGCACTTTTCCACAGGGTTAGGGTTTCACACGTAGAAGGAAATGCCATCCCACGTCCACAACCCACTCTGGGCACACCCTTCTTTATCAGCATTACAGAGGCCTACCTTTAGTTTACAGTATGGAAACTGTCAATCACCACATTTGCTTGAACTCACAAGTGCATGCTTGGGGATCAACTACACCTTGTTTCAGAAATGATGTTTCAGAATTGACTATTTTCAGATATTGCTTAAAAGGGCTGGCTTTGTTCCCTTATGGAAATCTGCAAGAAGAATGTGTAATGTTGTTACTTTGAAAGTGGGACCAGAGAGGGAATTTGTTTAGGTTGATGAGCAAAAACATTGTGTCTGACAGGGAATACCTACACCTACTGTTACATTCAGGTACCTTAAACCTGCTGCACTTACAATCACAAGACGAATGTTGCCTTTCAATAGTGACATGTACCTGAAAACGTCCCAAAATGTCCTTATAGTTAAGTTTACCCCGTCAATTAAATGTTTGCAGCTTCAAGACCACCGCTGTCCACTCCAGATTTCGATTGGCTTTTGGGGGCCTCAGAACCCTAAAAGTTCAAGATTCTAAATCTGGGGTCCTGTGAGCACCAGGGGGCGTGTCTTAAGAGACCAGTTTAAAGTGTGTCTGAACTCTCACTTGAGGTCTAGTCTTTCTGTAGGTGTGCACACAGATTGACCACTCCTTTGGGCTTTATTTCTGTGGATATTTGGGGGAAAGCTAATTCGCAACCATGGTAAGACCAATCATTTGAACACACAATTACATTAATAAAAGCATAATAAACAACAAGTTTGTATAGGGTTACATTTGCAACTTTATATTTGGATGGGCAATTAAGATTATTAATTAGCCTAATTTGGAAATAATTTATTTGAAAATCATTTTGACAATGTATTGTCTCTTGCAGTCATATGTTTACCATTTCCTAAAGTGTAAGGTATAAGACATGATTAAAACAGTAGTCGTTTCCTTAGACCAAAAAATCACTAAATTGTTTAATTAACCAAATAATATGTAAGTATTTATAGCAGTATTTCTGGAGCATGACTTTAGGAAAGTTATGCATGGTCAGTTGGCGCAGGCTCGATAGGCTATGGGTTTATTGGTGCTTATCGGGTAGATACCGAGTATCAGACTGTCACACAACCTAAAAGGTCAGCAAGACTGCCCGGGTGCGGATTGTGTTTAGGCGACAAATTCCGTCGGATTGTGTTTCCGTAAACCATATACAGGGGGGTAATGTGTTGAGCCTTAAATAGCATGGCAAATTTGTCAGTATGCCTATAGGCTAAGGCTAACCCCTTTGTGTGGATATCTTTGTGAATGTCAATAAAACAGAAATACACTAATCTGATAGCCAATAACATCACTGTTACCCAAAAAATATTATAGATAGTTAGAATAGTGACAATTTGAGAAATTGTCACTACTACTATGACCTGGCAAATGTGGCGCTGTTTTTCCTCTAGACTGATGCGCAACAGGAGGCCCGCTCATTCTTGAGCGAGGAGATGCTTAACGGTGAGTAGGACCATAGCAAAACCATGTTGTCGTTAATTAATACATTAAATGTGCCAGGTCTAATGAATACAATAATTAGTGTCCAGAACCGTATCATCCTTCCAGAGTTCAAGGCTGCCTTCGACATGTTCGACACAGACGGTGGCGGTGATATCAGCACCAAGGAGTTGGGTCAGGTCATGAGGATGTTGGGCCAGAACCCGACAAGAGAGGAGTTGGATGAAATCATTGAGGAGGTCGATGAGGATGGTGAGCAACGGCTGAATATAAAATATTATCAATATTAACCTACATAAATATATGTAAGCTATATACCTTCAATGGCATGCGCAAAGTTTGGCGCGTAATTAGGCTACTTATGGGTAATTTATGCCCATGTTATGCTCAGGTGACCTGTGTATGATACATACCTGTTCACATTGCTGTATTTACCTGTTGTATTCGAGCGTGATGCATAATCTATTGGAACCTTCACCTCAGGCAGCGGCACCATCGACTTCGAGGAGTTCTTGGTCATGATGGTGAGGCTCTTAAAGGAGGACCAGGCCGGAAAGTCTGAGGAAGAGTTGGCTGAATGTTTCCGTGTGTTCGACAAGTATGTCACCTGTTTTAGGGAGAAGGGGTTACGTTTTACAGTTTACCTTGTGTACAATTACAGTCAGCGTTCATATGTCGACAGGTTGTTAAACTTCCTCCAATGTGTGTTGCTTACGCAGGAATGCCGACGGCTACATCGACAGAGAAGAGTTCGCCATCATCATCCGCAGCTCTGGCGAGCAAATCTCAGAGGAGGAGATCGATGAGCTGCTGAAGGATGGAGACAAGAACGCTGACGGCATGCTGGACTTTGATGGTATGACAAAGCCACGATGCCTTTGATAATAATAATGATGATGCTGATTGGACAATTAGCCTACATATTGACCTGCATTTTCATAATGGATTTTAGGCCTGTTATTGACCATGAATTACATCACCATGATTTAAACTTTCATTTTCATAATGGATTTGTCACTCTTTTTCAGAATTCCTCAAGATGATGGAAAATGTGCAGTAAAAGAGAGACTCAAGGACATTCCTCCTCCCTTTGACCCCCTGCTGACCTATTCTGATCCATTTTTGACCCACTCCAACTCTCCCTCAACCTTCGCCCCTTGCCTATGTCATCCACCTCGATTAAACTAAACCTCTTCAACATAGGTGGGGGTAACCAGGGCTTTTGAGCCCTTCTTGCTTGTGATTGCAACGCCCCATTGACGCCAAGCTGCTGCTGTTCCCCCAAATCAGGAGGGAAAAGCCGGGATGTGAAATTCACTGCAACTTCACAGAATGGGTCAGTGGATCACTTACCACCTCAACACCCTCAAGCTGGGAGTTCAGTCTAGATGTAGTCTAGATGGGCAGCTTGTGATCGCTGCTTAGACCAAGGCCAACTGTAACCACTTCACTGTAATAAACTATTGCTTGAACCGAGATAATAAATGAATAAACAAATGCTCACTGGTAGTTGGTGTGACATAATCATGGTCTGTACGCTATTGTTTTGAGGAATATCAATAAAATTATTATTTTCTTTTTCAATTTTTATTTGACCCACACAGCCATCTGGTCTTTATTGATGTACAGTCTGTGTTACTGTTGTGGACCATAAGGCATAACAGATTAGATAGCAGTAAAGCTAGATCAGGCCTATTTACTTACGGCAAAATACAAATTGAAAAAAATCATAATTATGAAATGATATGCCATCTGGAACCTCCTGCCAAATTCCAAGTTTAAATTCTTCATTATACAAACTGAACTGTAGGTAATCAAAGGAATCCCTATGAAAATAGATTACTGATACAGTGGGTTAAGGAACAAAGGACAAACTTCAAACATGTTCTACGCCATATTAATCATCTCCAGCACCACCCCAACATCAACATGTGAAAATGGCACGTTTCTATGTAAAGATAGAGGAAGATACAGTAAGAGTTTCCAATGACATCATCAGCCAATTAGTAGACAATGCCTACTCATAATTGGTTAAAAGCACACCGATAATGTCATTGGAAACACTTACAGTGCCTTCAGAAAGTATTCACACCCCTTGACTTTTTCCACATTTTGTTGTGTTACAACCTGAATTAAAAATTGATTCGATGTAGATTTATTTTGTCACTGCCTACACACAATACCCCATAATCTCAAAGTGGAATTATGTTTTTAGACATGTTTACAAATTTAAAAAAATTGAAAAGCTGAAATGTCTTGAGTCAATAAGTATTCAACCCCTTTGTTATGGCAAGCCTAAATAAGATCAGGAGTAAAAATGTGCTTAACAAGTCACATAAATTGCATGGACTCACTCTCTGTGCAATAATAGTGTTTAACATGATTTTTGAATGACTACATCATTTCTGTACCTCACACATACAATTATATGTAAGGTCCCTCAGTTGAGTACTACATTTCAAACACAGATTCAACCACAAAGACCAGTGAGGCCTCGCAAAGAAGGGCACCTATTTGTAGATCGGTAAAAATAAAAAAAAGCAGATATTGAATATCCCTTTGAGCATGGTGAAATTATTAATTACACTTTGGATGGTGTATCGATACACTATGTCACTACAAAGATACAGGCATACTTCCTAACTCAGTTGCCGGAGAGGAAGGAAACCGCTCAGGGATTTTAAACCAATTACAGAGTTAAATGGCTGTGCTAGGAGAAAAGATGGATCAACAGCATTGTAGTTACTCCACAATACTAACCTAAATGACAAAGTGAAAAGAAGGAAGCCTGTACTGAATAAAACTATTCCTAAACATGCATCCTGTTTGCAATAAGGCACTAAAGTAATACTGCAAAACAAATGTGGCTAAGCAATCAACTATTTGTCCTGAATACAAAGTGTTAAGTACTCCTGAGTGGCGCAGTGGTCTAAGGCACTGCATCGCAGTGCTAACTGTGCCACTAGAGATCCTGGTTCGAATCCAGGCTCTGTCGCAGCCGGCCGCGACCGGTAGACTCATGGGCGGCGCAAAATTGGCCCAGGGTAGGGGAGGGAATGGCCGGTAGGGATGTAGCTCAGTTGATAGAGCATGGCGTTTGCAATGCCAGGGTTGTGGGTTCGATTCCCACGGGGGGCCAGTATAAAAAAATAAAATAATAATAATGTATTCACTAACTGTAAGTCGCTCTGGATAAGAGTGTCTGCTAAATGACGTAAATGTAAAATGTTATGTTAGGGGCAAATGCAATACAACACATCACTGAGTACCACTCTCCATATTTTCAAGCATAGTGGTGGCTGCATCATGTTATGGGTATGCTTGTAATCATTAAGGACTGGGGAGTTTTTCAGGGAAAAAAGAAACAGAATGGAGCTAGGCACAGGCAAAAATCCTAGAGGAAAACCTGGTTTCGTCTGCTTTCCACCAGACACAAGGCCAAATCTACACTAGAGTTCCTCACCAAGAAGACAGTGAATGTTCCTGAGTGTCCAAGTTACAGTTTTGACTTAAATCAGCTTGAAAATCTATGGCAAGACTTGAAAATGGTTGTGTAGCAATGATCAACTACCAATTTAACAGAGCTTGAAGAATTTTTTAAAGAATAATGGACAAATATTGTACAATCCAGGTGTGCAAAGCTCTTAGAGACTTACCCAGAAAGACTCACAGCTGTAATCGCTGCCAAAGGTGATTCTAACATGTATTGACTCAGGGGTGTAAATATTTATGTAAATTAGATATTTATGTATTTAATTTTCAATAAATGTTCAAACATTTCTAAAAACATATTTTCACTTTGTCATTATGGTGTATTGTGTGTAGATGGGTGAGAATTAGTTTTATCTAATCCACTTTGCATTCAGGCCGTAACAAAACAAAAAGTGAAATAAGTCAAGGGGTAAGAATACTTACTATCTTCCTCTATCTTTTTACTACAAAACATAGAAACGCACCAATTTCACATATGTTGATGTTGGGTTGGTGCTGGAGATATGACGTTGGAAATGTACCTTTAAAGCTTGCACATATCACACCGAATTTGGATCTAGCGTTCATCTGACGATCGTTCAGCACGCTGTGTTTTAAAGACCACCCGCTGTAGACGTCTGACTGCCAAAATTTTATGCGTAAAATCGTAAAATGACGTTCAGATGCGCTAAGTACTCTCGGCCAGCAAACCCTATTGGTGTGTCTGAGCCCTTAGTCCTGCACAGATAATTATAATGACAATCAGTGAGGCTTTTATTCCATGCACAATAAGGTCCATCTACAGAAGTTGTGCGTTCATTTGCACCAATTAATCAGATTTTTTTATTCAATGTTTGAAGCTATATCCATTGTCTCAAGGTGTATAAGGAGCAAGTGAAACGGTTCAGGAAAGAGAACCCATCCATGGATTAATATAGAAAGTCTACATTTGAACTCCCCTCTGGGCCCATGTCCTGAAATATCTCAGTAAAGGATGGAAGAAATTGTGTCAAGGGGTGTGAGTTACTTTATTCATAAATGTCCATTCCACCATTATGTCACTATCCTTACTGATAAACAGGACAACAATTCTCACATAAGAGACATTTCCTCACAGGACCTAATGATTGATCCTGGAATGTGATATCCTTCTGCGGATACAGCACAGTATTCCATAACAAATAAAACAACTTTCTAGTATTAGATGTGTATGTTAATAGAAATATGTATATAGAAGGCATAAGCATTTGACATGAGCACAAACATATCTGAAGTCACAAGTGGATGGTCAATTAACAGTATCTCTATGTCCACATATGCTACAAAATCAACTTTAAAACCTCAAAAAAACATGTCAAAAGATCATAGCAGAATAAACAGCTTCGACAATGTGAAAGAAAAGTTTAAAAAAGGGAAAGACGACATGTATTCGTGGTGAAGGCCAAATCCCTCTACCAAACGACCTAAGAGCCATAGTTCGCTTCATCAAAGGCCTTGCGCGCTCTTTTCAGCTCCTCGTTCATCGTCAAGAGGTCTTTCACTCTGGCAAACTTCCTTGGATCTTTCCGGATAAGGAAAACAATGTCCTCCACCTGGACACGGCCCTGGCGTCCGATGGACATGGCTTTGTGTGTCATCTCCGTGACGAACTCGATCACAAGGTCCTCCAGGATGTCCACTGACTCAGTGTAGGGATTCTGGTCATCTCCAAACCCATACATCATACACCGAAGTTCTTTGGAAAACAGCCTTTTCCTTTTGCCGTGGTTCCCATCGGCTCCACCCGCCCCGTCATCCATATCATCGTCAAAACCAGCTTCGTCTTCCTCCTCCGCCATCCTCCCAGATCCAAACGGTGTACTAGAGCTAGCAATTGTAGCTAACGTTAGATAGCTAGCTGGCTAATTAATTATGTAGCTAGATGGCTAGTTACAAAGCCCAGTGTCCAATGATATTTCGCAAACCTTGCAGGTTAGATGCAATTGGAGTCCTGAACCGTTTTGTTGTGGCGGGTTTTTAACTTTATACCAACGATAAAAACCGAGGGCCAAGACAACAATTCCTCAACCAAATTCACAATTTCTTCTTCGCTGTAGTTGCCGGAAGTAGCTACAGCAACTGGCCAGGTTGTTTTGCTGGGGAAATCGAAAATACTGCCACCTAGCTGGAGTCGGACGCACTTGATTCAGGTCGCCCATCGGACCGGCAGAGTGATCCATTGCATTGGACCAAGGACTACATTCCACCAAGCACAGGCAAGCAAAATCAAGTGCACCGCTTGGCCTGCTCAGTCGAGCGGTTTGTACGATGCCGTGGCCGGTGTGTAGAGTGGACTAACTGGCAATAACAAAGTAACGTTACTGTAATTTGGCAAGTAAAACAATGTTTCAATTACTCTGTACAGCCATATGTTTATATGCGTCTCTTGATAGTTAAGCTAGTTAGCCAACGCGTTACTTGATTTAGACGGACCGTTCACACTTTGCTTAGCTAACGTTAGCTATCTAGCATACCAGCTTTCGCCGCCGTTCGCCAGCAGGTGAGTTCAGCCAGACAGTAGCTACAGTTTTAAAATGTTTTCATAAGATATCTGGTTCAGCTAGCTAACCATTGTAGCTAGCCAGTTAACAAGTTATCAACTGTCTTCCCCGATGTCTTGCCCGTCCATATTTTATGTGCTTTGTTAGCCATATGGCCCAGGCTTGTGTTTTCCAGTGCCATCATAATCGTCAGCCACGTATCTATTTAGCTTGGCCACGTAGGCTTATCTGAGATCATAGCTACAATATTCGTTGTGAACACTTAAAAAATATATATGCATGTTCATGTACAGTATTACCACAACACACTGGCTGTGTCAGTGCTATCATACAGCTGGGAGTATGCTCATTGCTCACTGATAAGACTGGTCAAACAGATTGCTCAACTCAGTCACATGCTCAGCTAGCAGCAAATTGTATCAGTTATTTTGTCTGATTATATTGTCAACTGATCCCATCTTTCTCACTTTTCCCTCCTCTCTCCCTTCCCAGCTTTCAGCACAGCGAGGGGCATTGCTCCTGTTTGAAGATGGTGCCTCTGCAGTAGTTCCTGCGGGGAAGGGTGAACCAGCACCATGGCTTGCCCTGTACAGTTCCTATGCCGGGCAGTCCGCACTGTGAGCCTGGTCCTCGTTTACTATGTCTTCTCCATCGGCATCACCTTTTATAATAAGTGGCTGATGAAGGTGAGTCTGAGGCTGGCTCACACTCCTTATGCGACATAACATTGTGTACTTCAAATCAAAAAAAATTGTCACATACACGAGTTTAGCAGATGTTATTACGGGTGTAGCTAAATGCTTGTGCTTCTAGCTCCGACAGTGCAGTAATATTTAACAAGTAATATCCAACAATTTCACAACATATACCCAATACACACAAATCTAAGTAAGGAATGGAATTTAAGAATATATACATAAATTATATGGACAAGCAATGACTTGGTATGTTTGCTTTGCATGCAGTGCCATGAAGCCTAACTCACTATCACTGTTTGCGGGTCTTGTTCCCATCTCTCTCCCTCTTTCTCTCAGGGCTTCCACTACCCACTGTTTATGACGCTGGTCCACCTCACCATAATATTCTGTCTCTCTACCCTGACCCGCTCGGCCATGCAATGCTGGACAGGGAAGCCTCGGGTCATGTTGAACTGGAAAGACTACCTCTCAAAGGTTGCCCCAGTCGGTGAGTGTGTGAATCGCTACATACAATGGCTGATTGTTTGTGGGCAGTCTATGCATATATAACATGATGCAGCCACCACCATTTTTTGTGTGTGTGGGGTGGGGGTCGAGGCGAGGGTCGAGGTGAGGAGGAGGATAATTTAAGATATTATTTTGAAGAGGTAGGATTTCAGATGTTTTCGGGAGATGGGCAGGGACTCTGCTGTCCTAGCTTCAGGGGGAAGCTGGTTCCACCATTGGGTTGCCAGGACAGAGAAGAGCTTGGACTGGGCTGAGTGGGAGCTGCCCTCCCAACAACCAAAAACACATATCTAAGTTTAGATTTCATAATGAACCAGAAAATCAATAGTTATTTCTGGTTGTTAATCAAAGTTGGCTGACTAACTCGTTGATCCTGCTTTGTATACTGAACAAAAATATAAACGCAACAATTTCAACGATTTTACTGAGTTACAGTTCATTAGAGGAAATCAATCAATTGAAATAAATTCATTAGGTCCTAATCTATGGATTTCACATGACTGGGCAGGGGCGCAGCCATGGGTGGGCATTGGAGGGCCAATCAGAATGAGTTTTTCCCCACAAAAGGGCATTATTACAGACATAAATACTCCTCAGTTTCATCAGATGTGGAGGTCCTGGGCTGGCGTGGTTACACGTGGTCTGCGGTTATGAGGCCGGTTGGACGTACCGCCAAATTCTCTAAAACGATGTTGGAGGCGGCTTATGGTAGAGAAATGAACATTCAAATATCTGGCAACCAGCTCAGGTGGACATTCCTGCAGTCACCATGCCAATTGCACACTCCCTCAAAACTTGAGACATCTGTGGCATTGTATTGTGTGACAAAACTGCACATTTTAGAGTGGCCTTTTATTGTCCCCAGCACAAGATGCACCTGTGTAATGATCATGCTGTTTAATCAGCTTCTTGATATGCCACTCCTGTCAGGTGGAATAATTATCTTGGCAAAGGAGAAATGTTCACTAACAGGGATGTAAACTAATTTGTGCACAAAATTTGAGAGAAATAAGTTTTTTGTGAGTATGGAAAAATTCTGGGATCTTTCATTTCAGCTCATGAAACATGCGACCAACCCTTTACATGTTGCGTTTATATTTTTGTTCAGTATAGTATACCCCTCTGATGGGGTACAACAGTTGAACTAAGCTCATGAGGCATTCACCTTCCTGTCAGTAAGAAATAAACCCTTTGTTACTAGGAAAATAACAGTGTGCCATGATGTGATCAACAGTCCTAAAAAGCTGTCTCTTTCAGCCATGGCAACAGCGCTGGACATTGGACTCTCCAATTGGAGCTTCCTCTTCATCACCATAAGCTTGTAAGTGTGTGTTTACTACAGGTCCTTCTGAAAGTATTCACACCCCTTGACTTTTTCTGCATTTTGTTGTGTTACAGCCTGAATCTAAAATGGAATACATTGAGATGTTCGTGTCACTGGCCTACACACAATACAAAATGTCAAAGTGGAATTATGTTTTTAGAAATGTTTACAAATTATTTAAAAATTAAAAGCTGAAATGTCTTGAGTCTATAGGTATTCAACCCCTTTGTAACGGCAAGTTTAAATAAGTTCAGGAGTAAAAATGTGCTTAACAAGTGTCATAATAAATTGCATGGAATCACTCTGTGCAATAATAGTTGAACATGATTTTTGAATGACTACCTCATCTCTGTACCCCACACATACAATTATCTGTAAGGTCCCCCAGTCGAGCAGTGAATTTCAAACGCAGATGCAACCACAAACACCAGGGAGGTTTTCCAATGCCTTGCAAAGAAGGGCACCTATTGGTAGATAGGAAGAACAAAAAAATTATACAGACGTCCTTCCTAACTCAGTTGCCGGAGAGGAAGGAAACCCCTCAGGGATTTCACCATGAAGCCAATATCTGCTACATGGCATATTATTATTATATTATATTATTATTAGTGACTTTAAAACAGAGTTAAATGGCTGTGATAGTTTTCTCCTAAGGATGGATCAACAACATTGTAGTTACTCCACAATACTAACCTAATTGACTGCGTGAAAAGAAGGAATGCAAAAAAATGTGGCAAAGAAATTAACTTTATGTCCTGAGTACAAAGCATTATGTTTGGGGCAAATCCAACACATCACTGAGTACCACTCTTCATATTTTCAAGCATGGTGGTGGCTACATCATGTTATGGGTATGCTTGTCATCGGCAAGGACTATGAAGTTGTTTAGGATAAAAAATAAACAGAATAGAGCTAAGCACAGGCAAAATCCTAGAGGAAAACCTTGTTCAGTCTGCTTTCCAACAGACACTTGGAGAAAAAGTCACCTTTCAGCAGGACAATAACCTAAAACACATGGCCAAATATACGCTGGAGTTGCTTACTAATATGACATTGAATGTTCCTGAGTGGCCTAGTTACAGTTTTGACCTAAATCGGCGTGAAAATCAATGGCAAGACTTGAAAATGTCTGTCTAGCAATGATCAACAACCAACTTGACAGAGTTTGAAGAATTCTAAAAAGAATAATATGCAAATAATGTACAATCCAGGTGTGCAGAGCTCGTAGAGACATACCCAGAAAGACTCACAGCTGTAATCGCTGCCAAAGGTGATTCTAACGTGTATTGACTCAGGGGTGTGAATACTTATGTAAATGAGATGTTTGTATCTCATTTTCAATACATTTTGAAATATGTCTTAAAACATGTTTTCACTTTGTCATTATGGGGTATTGTGTGTAGATGGGTGAGATTATTATTTTTTTAAATCCATTTTGAATTCAGGCGGTAACACAACAAAATGTGGAATAAGTCAAGAGGAATTAATACTTTCTGAAGGCACTGTATGTATCTACCTAACTTTGATCTATAGTTTGCTTGACCATCACTGTTCTGAATGGCATTAAAATATTTATTTGTATGTTTCCTCCAGGTACACAATGACCAAGTCTTCTGCAGTGCTCTTCATCCTCTTCTTCTCATTGGTTTTTAAACTAGAGGAGCCGGTAAGTCAATTTCACTTGAGATATGCTAACTGTTGTTGTTTCTTCTTGGTCATTGTTTATCCAGTAGTATTAATGGGTGTTGCATGACAGAAAACTGCATTTAACATTCACGCTTTGTTCACAATACATGTTTGAAAGGCAGTGTTCCCGCGTTCGCAGAGACCTCATTCACAGGAAACGCTGCATATGTCGGTTCAATCGGAAATTACTTTTAAATAGTGCATTGTCCAAATCCGCGATCGAATCTCAGCCTTTATGATAAAATGTTGCTGAACTTTGATGGAAATAAGTACAATGTTCTATATTTATGTTAAAAGTAGAACAGGTATGAAATGCAAATAACGCTTCCTTCTTTTCACTCTGTCAATTAGGTTAGTATTGTGGAGTACCTACAATGTTGTTGATCCATCCTCAGTTTTCTCCTATCACAGCCATTAAACTCTGTAACTGTTTTAAAGTTACTGTTGGCCTGGTTAAATCTGTTGGAAATTCATTGCTCGACTGAGGGACCTTACAGATAATTGTATGTGTGGGGTACAGAGATGAGGTAGTCATTCAAAAATCATGTTAAACACTAGTATTGCACACAGAGTGGGTCCATGCAACATATTATGTGAGTTGTTAAGCACATTTTTACTCCTGAACGTATTTAGGCCTGCCATAACAAAGGGGTTGAATATTATTGACTCAAGACATTTCAGCTTTTCAATGTTATTTAATTTGTAAACATTTTGAAGAACATAATTCCACTTTGACATTATCAACATAAGTTTCCCTTATGGCTCAGGTGCATACATGCATCATAGGAATATACATAATATACACACACAAACACAGAAGTCAGCTCAGACAGATCCAGCTCAGAGAGGCCCAGGTCATGAGCTCTATCAGCAGCAAATTTTAATTTAGAATGGAAAATGAATGTGTTTATGCAACAAATGTTTGTGCACCGTATCACAAATCGAACCACATCGGTTCGTTCCTCGAATCCAACCGAATAGCACCGAATCGTTTCAAATGAAAACGTAGGCTATCGTTCCTGTATCGTATTGGAGCCCATGTATCTAACGTTAGATACGTATCGAATCTTGAAAGGGAAAGATGCACATCCCTTACACCTAGGTGTACCGTAGCCGCTCACATGGTTATGCCATCCTCATTTAAAGGCTTTCTTACCACACCCCCTCACACATTATACTCTGTGTGATATCTGGATCATTCATTACTACAAAGGCAAGACCTGCCTAATTGAAGTCTCTGCGGTTGCAATCTTCCCACCAAGACACTCGCTTTCCAATGTTCTAGACAAGACTTGTCTAATTGATGTCCCTGCAAGCTTGCCACCTTGGCACTCACTTTCTAATGTTCTAACGAGCTATAGGATTCAGTGAATGGATTCTCTTTTCATGCATAGGAGGAAGTTCCATTCCCCTCAGGTGTATCTAACTATGTGTCTATGCACTTTGAAATGTGTGTGCATTACATATACAGTGAGCTCCATAATTCACTGGACAGTGACCATTCTTTTGTTATTTTGGTTCTGTACTCTAGCACTTTGAGTTTGAAAGGATACAATGACAATGAGGGTGAAGTGCAGACTGTCAGCTTTAATTTGAGGGTATTTTCATACATATCGGATGAACCGTTTACGAATTATAGAAGCTTTTGTACATGGTCCCCCCCATTTTCGGGCATCAAAAATCATTGGACAGTTTAACATAATGTAGAATAAAGTAATCATTGTTAATATTTGGTCGCATATCCTTTGCATGCAATGACTGCTTGAAGTCTGCGATGGATTGACATCACCAGACGCTGGGTATCTTCCCTGGTGATGCTCTGCCAGGCCTGTACTGCAGCCATCTTCAGTTCCTGCTTATTTTGGGGACTTATTGCCTTCAGTCTCCTCTTCAGCATGTAAAATGCATGTTCAATTGGATTCAGATCCGGTGATTGACTCGGCCAGTCAAGGATTTTCCACTTTTTGGCCATCAAAAACCCCTTTGTTGCTCTAGCAGTATGTTTAGGGTCATTGTCTTGTTGCATGATGAAGTGCCGTCCAATGAGTTTGGAGGCATTTGGTTTTATCTGAGCAGATAAAATATTTCTATAGACTTCAGAATTCATTGTTCTACTTCTGTCTGCAGTCACATCATCGATGAAGACAAGTGAGCCTGTTCCACTGGCAGCCATACAGGCCCAAGCCATAACACCCCCCTCCACCATGTTTCACGGATGAGGTGGTATGCTTTGGATCATGGGCATTTCTTTTTTTTCTCCACACTTTCCTCTTTCCATCACTCTGGTACATGTTAATCTTTGTCTCATCTGTCCACAATACTTTTTTCCAGAACTCTTGGGGCTCTTTTAAGTGCTTTTTAGCAAACTGTCATCTCGCCTTTCTGTTCTTCAGGCTTATCAGTGGTTTGCATCTTGTAGTGTACCCTCTGTAGTCCTGCTGGTGTAGTCTTCTACGTATGGTAGACTTTGACACATCTACACCTGCATCCAGGAGAGTGTTTTTGATCTGTTGGGCTGTTGTCAGGGGGGTTTTCTTCACCATAGAGAGTATTCTCCGGTCATCCACTACAGTGGTCTTCCTCGGTCTACCGGGTCTTTTGACATAATTGAGTTCACCGGTTGTTTTTTTCTTGTTAATGATGAACCAAACTGTTGACTTGGGCATGGCCAGGGTTTTTGCAATGTTCCTGATTGATTGATTTTCATTTCTGAGCCTTATGACGGCCAGCTTCATTTGCATCGACACTGCTGTCTTCCTCATGTTGTCACACCACAACAACAACCTCCAAAGGCAATAGCAAAGTCTAGAATCAATGCTATTCATCAACAGCTCTCCTGCATTCACTAACGACACAAATGAATACACCTGCCTAACGACACACATCTGTGAAGCCAATTTAACAAATACTTGTAGTACCTTAAAATGGGGGGACCATGTATAAAAGGTGCTATCATTTCTAAACAGTTCATCCGATATATATGAAAATACCCTCAAATTAAAGCTGACAGTCTCATTGTCATTGTATCCTTTCAAACTCAAAGTGCTAGAGTACAGAACCAAAATAACAAAAAAATTGTCACTGTCCAATGAATTATGGAGCTCACTGTATATGGTTGTTAACGTTATGGTTGTGTACTCTGGTTCCATGCCCTTGATGTGTATGATGAGGAAGTGCATAATGTGTGCATGTGGACAAAAGGCTTCTGTTCTGACCCACACGTTACTCTATTTTTCCAGAACCCATACCTGATCGTGGTGGTCCTTCTGATAGCCAGCGGTCTGTTCATGTTCACCTTCGAGTCGACCCAGTTCAACCTGGAGGGCTTCATCATGGTACTGCTGGCATCGTTCATCGGTGGGATCCGGTGGACCCTCACGCAGGTCCTGATGCAGAAAGCAGAGCTTGGTCAGTTACCAACTAGTCTCAGAAATCCCAAACCTAGGGAAAGGGTGTATGTTGGAACATTGTTAATGTGGGAGGCAACCCTTCTGCCTAGGGAGACTAGTTACTGAGCATCATTGTGTTGTTGTTTGGTCTTGGACTTGTCCTTTTATTCCCTGATTAGGCATTCAGCCCAGTAACCCCCACTCTCTTCCACATTCCACTCCCACAGGGCTCCAGAACCCAATAGACACCATGTACCATCTACAGCCGCTCATGTTCATGGGCCTCTTCCCACTCTTCCTCTTCAATGAAGGTAAGACTTTTACTATGCTTTCTAACCTGTTTGTGATAGTCCATGCCTGTCAGTCTGGGCATGACATAAGTGCCTCTATCTGTGTCTTAGTGCTGATCCATTTCTCTCTATCTGATTCTGTCTGCAGGGCTGAGCCTAAGTACCTCAGAGAAGCTGTTCCGTGTGAATGAGCTCTCTCCCCTGCTCTACACTCTGATCATGCTGAGTATAGGCGGATCACTGGCCTTTGGCCTGGGCTTCTCAGAGTTCCTGCTAGTCTCAAAAACCTCCAGTCTCACTTTCTCCATAGCAGGGATCTTTAAGGTAAGGAGGATAACACTGTATATCACTGGTCACCCTCTCTGTATCCCTCTGCTCACACCCTCTGCTCCCTCACTTGAATTGCTTCCTTTGCACCATCTCTCCCGCTGTCTCAAGCACTCCTCGTTTCACCTCCCCTACACCCTTTATTCAAAGTGTGTTTTCCATCTCCCCCTCACGTACCCTCCCTGTCCCAACTAGGAGGTGTGTACTCTGCTGCTGGCAACAGGCCTGATGGGGGACAGGATGAGTGGACTCAACTGGATGGGTTTCGCTGTCTGTGTTTCTGGCATCTCCCTGCATGTGGGGCTGAAGACCTACTATTCCAAAAGTAAGTATTCATACCATTACTGTATGTGGTACCCTACACTGTAAAATGAAAGCAAATTGTTGTCAATCAATCCCTGGTGTAGTCGGTATATTAGGTATGTTGTAATTGCTTGTTAATCAAGCCAGCGCAGCTGAAGGTACTGTGGCTAATCGAAAGGTATTTCAACAAGCTGTCCTTCATATCCAGTAATTGGTTATTATTTTTCAATCTACTCCAGGTAAAGTTCACTCGTTGAGACAGATGCCCATTCAAAACAGCCAAGACCTGGGAGTACCACTATTGTGTCATAAGGAATACGAGGGGGAGGAGACAGCTGATGATGAGGAGCAGGAGATTCTACTCTGAATCTAACAAGATGGTTGACTGACTCATGTTCCAGAGAGGCAAAGAGAAGGGATCACTGCCTCTACCTCGCTTTCCAACCAAGGTGCACGAGTTGAGGAGCAAACTGAGGTAGAGAGGAGATTCGGTAACACTTGGAGGACAAATGGAATTAAATAAAAAGTTTATTTATTGCAAAAAGTATAACCAACGTGTTTTAGCCTTCTTCAGAGAGGCCACAGGGGAACAGAAGGGGAAGGCTTCCAACCCTCCTCTACAGCCAACATTCTCTTCAGCCTTTGTCCAAAATCGCTGAGCATTACGGTCAGTAAAATGGACAGACGCCCTGAACTTCAATTATCAAATGCATTTACTGTTGCCTTTTAAGGGCCTTCAGTGATGTGAAAGATAAGTGTTTACCTTATAATATGTGAAATGACCAAACCGTACGTGCCATTATAATGATAGAAAGGTTTACTAGAAATGGAGGACCACTTGCCTAAACATCAGACTGTTACCATGGTTACTCCATGATTGTCAGTCTGACCGAAGTCGCCCTAAAAAAGAAACCATATTCTCTATAAGCCAAAATGTTGAATAAAATGATATTTACACATACTTTACTGGTTGTACATGCTATTGGTCCTTTTGGCGGTAGGTGGAGATAGGGTATCCACAGCAAAGTGTTGTTTACCCTACTTTTTGCGGCACCAGTAGGTTCTGTTGCTTGTATTTTCAATCTCTTGACTCATTGCACGTGCTGCACAATATGTAAACAATAGCTGTTTGCTGTTCGGTCTGTGGTTTGTTTAGGCTAGGCCAAATTGTGCAAGTGTTTGTCACAAACCAGCGTACTGAAGGTCGGGTTGTTAACACTTCCCTGTGGATATTTTGTAGGGGTGTAACGATTCGTTTTAACAACGATTCGATTTGTATCACGATTCGTGGTTGTCGATACGATTCAAGGACGATATTGGTTCATTTAGAACGATACGATCCGAAACGATTCAGTGACTTGAAATCGATTCAGTAACCTTTTAGCCAAAAATTCAACCAGTGTGACTGAAATAAATACCTGGATACTGGACAGTGCAGGTGAAGTTTCCTAGATTCCTGTTTCTTGTAAGGACCGCAATGGTGGCTTGATAATTTCTCGCTCGTCGGCTTCTCATCTGTCATCCGCCATGCTATGCTTTGTTGTCTTGGCGCCTCTGCGCTGCGATGACGTCACGGATAGGCAGACTGAATCGAGTAATGTTTAAAGCCTTTATCATTAAAAGTGCTAAGAAAAAACATCCATATAAAGTCTGACGTGCTTAAATCCAATGGGTTATTTCCTAGTATCGATACAATCGATTTATTACATTTTAAAACGATGTTAGATCGATATATGTTGTCCAAAAGGCCAACTCGCCGAGCACAGATCGATGTAGTTGGATCATAGGAATATAAATCGATACATCGATGTAGTAGATGGATCGTTACACCCCTAGTAAAAACACTCCAGTGCGCAAAACAGGGGCACTGGAAAATACAAGGCACACAGGGAATATTCCCGGCGATACAAAATACATGGAGCTCCACCGAGCTTCTCTCTCCTCCACAATAAACAATCACACACAAAGACAAGGGGTCAGAGGGAACACTTATACAGGTACTAATGAGGGGATATGAACCAGGTGTGTGTAATAAACAAGACAAAACAAATGGAATGATGAGATGAGGAGCGGCAGTGGCTAGAAGGCCGGTGACAACAAACGCCGAAGCCTGCCCGAACAAGGAGAGGGGCAGCCTCGGAGGAAGTCGTGACAGATACTGTATATTTTTGAAAGAATACTATATTTCCCTTGACAGAGTAATGCTGAATGTAAAAAAATGGCTCAACTTACCCCACTCTCCCCTACACATGATGTAACATTTGTTTACGAATGACAGATAATGTTTAAATGCAAAACACTTTATTTTGTGATGGGGCCCTCAGCTCAGTTTGGGAACCTTAATCCAGGCTGGACAGCAGGAAATCAACCTGTATTTGTAGATTCCCCATCACCTCCCCCGAGAGCCTCTCTGGGCTGTCATAGATTGACTCATTGAGGTTGAAGATGGATTCTAGCCATGCCTTCATCTGGCCCTGTTGACAACAGACACATCATCGAGTGAGTGAGTGAGTGAGTGAGTGAGTGAGTGAGTGAGTGAGTGAGTGAGTGAGTGAGTGAGTGAGTGAGTGAGTGAGTGAGTGAGTGAGTGAGTGAGTGAGTGAGTGAGTGAGTGAGTGAGTGAGTGAGTGAGTGAGTGAGTGAGTGAGTGAGTGAGTGAGTGAGTGAGTGATTGATAGATAGATAGATAGATAGATAGATAGATACCTTAACGAGGAGGTAGAAGTTCCCAGCAGCCTCTGTCCAGGCTCCTCCAGGAGGGTGAATCCTCATTATGACTTCCAGGAGCAGATAAAGGAAGCTACCAGGCTTCTGGAGAAGGGACATGAGTGAGTGTCTACAGATCTGATATGACAACAGTGTGTATAGCATAGATAAACAACAGGATGTTCCATTCTTAGGGCCACTTACAGATATAGGAAGAGATGTCTTTCCTTCTAGAAGGCTTAGTAGAACGAATTCATAAAAAACATCTGCGAAGTTGATGCGGTCGATCTGAAGTCAAACAAATAGGATAATTACATAATCTTCATTGACAAGCACTTTAGAAAGTCTCATTGAGTAGATGTTAGATGAGAAGACGGTGCCTGCAGCTAACGCTCAAGCTTTCATGTAGACCTACTCCTTAGAGAGCCATCTCCTGCTCTAGTCGCTCCCTGTTTGCTGGCTCATTAATGAAGTTCACCAGTAGGTCGTAGGCCTGCTGAAACTGCCTCACATCCTCAAAACAAAACAATCATAAAATTCCTTAAAACTTAGATCATAAACTCAAAGATTCAGGTCTGTAATTCAAAGGGCCTCCGATTGTTTGGCTAGTATGACGTTGAAACTTTTCAACTAAACCCTATGAATCACTGTTGCCTAAAGGTAACCCACTGTGCAAGAACTGGTTGAATCAATGTTGTATCAATAAAAAATGTCAATGTGATGATGTTGAATCAAAGTGGGAAACTGATTGGATTTGAAAGAAGTCATCAACGTAAGGGAATTTCGTCTTTTAACCTAAATCCAATTACGTTAATTTTTGGGGGGATTTCACATTGAATTCACATTAGTTGACAACTCAACCAAATGTAAATCAAAACGAGACGTTGAAATGACATCTGTGCCCAGTGGGAACTATATATCTGGTCTGATGAACGTTGCACAATTATGTAATTGGTTACCTGCTGGTTGAGCTCGGATAGTCCACTCAACACCATCCTCCCAGCGTGGGTGAGGTAATTGAGGGAGGTACTGTCTGAGGATGTCAGAGCCTGTGAGAACAAGACAGTACATTTACAAATAGTCCAGAAATGTTCATGAAGTGAAATACAAAAGGTGCTAAATTCACATTTTCTCACCTCCATAGCACGTCTGATACCGGCCAGCCTCAGAGAGAAGTTGGTTGTCCCTTGGTTTTCAAAGTAACGCCTGTAAATAGAAATGTTCAATAACAAATGTTCAACCTAAGAAGCTAAAACATCAGTGCCATGAAATTAAGAAATCATTTTATGTTAGCCTATATTATAACTGCAGGATTCAGAAAGACCATACCAATGTAGGATCTTAATTTGATCACTCTTTTGTTGCTGAGAATTTTCCTGCACGGCAGGAAATGCAAACTTGTAGCGTATTTGGAATTTTCAAGTTTGTAATTTCCACTTTGAAATTTTAGACTCGATTTGCCCTAACGAAAAATGCATCCTGTTGCTGCAGGATTATTTTCCTGCTGTAGCAAACTGTCTCAAATTAAGATCCTACATCTGTATAACTACAATATTGGGCAGATTATTTCAAAGCAAAGGTTTTTACTATAGATGAACACATGAAAGCGAACCCACCGCAACTGGGGCACATCTGCAGCATTATTTTGCTCCTCCACAAACTCCTCCTCAAACTCCTAAAACAGACATCACATTAACTTAAACTCTACTAAACTGCATTTCACCTGCAACATCAACTGAAGCAGACAAAACATTCAGTGACATCATAACAATACTTTCATCTTGACCTAACACCTTGACCCTTGACAGACAACACAAACCTATCGATACCAAAACAATGACACACACCTGTACACACAAGTACCAATGAAATAAGAATTATTGATTGTAGAAAGAGTTTTACCTGAGGAGTGCTGTCAGGGGTCTGGTCCTGGTCCTGGGTGGAGTGGTAAGGTGGAGGGGGACTGGGAGGGGAATCGGAAGGGAAAGGGGGAGGCGGAGAATTCTGGGGGAACTGGTGAGAGGAGCCAGAGGACGGCTCATGAGGGGTGGTGATGATGTCAGAGGTGGAGAACTGATATGCCATCATCTCATCCCCCCTCTCCTGGTACCCCTCCACTGTGGTGGAGATATCCACCTGCTGTTTAACACACAACATGTGACACTGTCAGCCCAACACTGAAAACCACCATATTGAAAACCCCTCAACCAAACACTGAAATAAATCATAACACAGAGAAACAACGGGGTGTACCTGGGCATCCTCATAATAGGTGAACTCAGACCTCCTCTTGACAAGGCAGGACATGAGTCCATGGATCCTTCTACCAAGGAACTAAAAATGAGGCAAGCGATTAGAACGTGTAATTTCATTTTCTGTCAACATGTATTTATTCAAATAGGTAAATGGACATTTGCCACTTTACATTTTTTCTGTGAAAAATTGCCTGACTGTACCTTAATACCAGTCAGCTTCTTGTTGGTGAGGACCACCTGGACGAGACCCTTTAAAAGAGACAGAGAAACATTACATTTCATCCAGGAAATATAAGTAGACCTATAGCATGTGTGTCATTGACAGAAATCAGGTGCATTTGAGACGAAAGACAAGTTGAGAATCTCTCACCCATGGGTCCAGGATTTTTTCCTGGATGACTCTGCTCCACCACAGCTGCTTCTCCACTCCCCTCACAATGCACAGGTGATGCATGTCCTCTTCATTTTGCTATAAAGAAAAAACTTCTTCAGTCTCCAGACCTCTCTCTATATGTTAGCTGTAGATGTCTATAACATTTGGCAGGCGATTTCAGTTCTGAGTATAATCCCTGGCAGTGATATAGGGCCCACATGATGTTCGTACGACAAGTTTCCCCTAGGTTTCAATTAGGGACAGACATACAAAAGAAAACCCAGAGACAATTGGGAGTTCAAATACACAGGTGTGTTCATAAATGTTAAGAATATGTCTGAAGTACCTGCACTCGTCCATAATGGATATTCCAGTAATGGAAATGAAACGAACCCCAGTTCCCAACCAGCTGCAACTTCTCATAGGGAAAACCAGAGTCTTCCCTATTTGGCTGAAAAACAAAGACATCCCCTAATTATAGAGATTGCTCTGTGATTAATAAGACACACAATTGTGGAGATAGAGGACATGGTAATGTGTACTATTACTAATCAGCTATGACTGTCTAATAATGTGATTGACTACCTGTGAATGGCTATCTGAAGGTGCTGACAGTTCGTCAAGCACTAGCCTCCCAGCTTCAGTGAGGTGAATGGTAGGCTCCTCAATAACCAATTTGGAAGTCTGTGAAAAAAAGGGGAACAGAGTCAAGTAAATTCTCCCTATAACAGCTTTAAAGATATCAAAGTATTCTACTAGTGAATACTGAAGGTAATTATCCCTATTAGATCAGATGAGTAATGGTTAATAATCTGAATGGTTACCTGTGTGTTTAACATTGCCATCTCTCTCACCAGCATCCGTCCAGCATGGGTAAGGTAATAAGTTGGCTGCAGTGTTACAGACTATTACAAAAATAGGGAATATGTTTACAGAAATGTATTTTCATATTGTTCTACAGAAAGCATCATGTTTATGTTTAAGTTACATAAACCAGTCTAAAGACCAAAGAGTATCAGAATGGATGGACTTACAGAGCTGGGAACCCACAGAGGACCAGACCAAGGGATTAAAGCCAGACAGGTCCGCTGCCCAACCTCCTCATCCACATACTAAGGAACAAGACAGGATCAAATTAAAAGTCCGTTTGAATGATAGACAGGTAGCCTATAGGTCTGACAGACTGATATAGGGAGGATCACAAGAGGAGGCTACTGCATGATAGATTCTGAGACACTACACAGGTCTGTGTTGAAAGGTTAAGGAAACATCTGAGGTACCTGCATATGAATGGCTACCTGTTCATTTTGAGAGGACAGTTCATTCCATACCATCCTCCTAGCAGGAGTGAAACAGATGAAAATGGGCTGCTCCACTGTGAATATCTGTGAGAAAATGAGGGAACGAACATCAAAGTATTTCACTACCGTAGTGGATACTGAAGGTAATCCTGCCTATTAGATCAGATGAGCTTTGTCCAATAATCTGCATGGTTACCTGCGTGTTTAACACTGCCAGCTCTCTCACCAGCATCCTCCCAGCATGGGTAAGGTAATATGTTGGCTGCAGTTATAAAAAATAGGGAATATGTTTACAGAAATGTATTTCCATATTGTTCTTCAGAAAACGTCATGTTTATGTTTAAAGTACATAAACCAGTTTTAAGACCAGAGAGAAGACCAAAGAGTATCAGAATGGATGGACTTACAGAGCTGGGAACCCACAGAGGTCCAGACCAAGGGATTAAAGCCAGACAGGGCCGGTGCCCAACCTCCTCAACCACATACTAAGGAAGAAAATCAGGATCAATTTATGAGTCAGTAAAATGACAGTTTGAATGACAGATTGTTATTGAACCAATCCTGCTAATGAAGCAGTTTTGTTATAGCCTGGGTGCCAGTCTGTTTCAGCTCTCTGTCCACTCCTTATGGGATTGTGATGCCAATATCATATTGCCACGATGGAATTGGCAAGAGAGCAGAAAGACTGGCACCCAAGCTATTGATAGGCCTGCAGCATTCTTACCTGAACAAGGACTGGGTCCTCCTGGTCCAGGGTGGGCTCATTATCTTTATGAAAAACAATAAAGGATTGTTTTCTCTAAGTTTAAGAAATACTAGCTACAAGACACCAGACATCTGTCCATGATCATATATTTACTTGTGTTTTATATTGTATGACATCAAATGTATTTATGTGTCTGCATAATGTACCAACATGTTCAATTAAACCTAAAGCAACGGTTTGGTTTCAAAGGAGCAAGTTTGTTTGTTGTTGTTAATCTAGGGCTACACTGTAAAAAATGTCATCACCATGATTGCTACCTAAATGACACCCTATTCCCTATTTAGTGCACTACTTTTGACCAGCGCCTTTTAACCATAGAACTATGGGTCCTGGTCAAAATAAGAAATAGGGTATTGGGTGGCATTTGGGACTATTACTATTTAGACATTGTAAAATATGTAAACTTACCCTCCTCAACCGTGACAACACGGTCCACGCTCTCCACGGTGGCCAGTGCATCCTCACCGATACCGTCATATTTGCTATATGTGGTCCTCTGTAGCTCAGCTGGTAGAGCACGGCGCTTGTAACGCAAAGGTAGTGGGTTCGATCCCCGGGACCACCCATACACACAAAAAACGTATGCACGCATGACTGTAAGTCGCTTTGGATAAAAGCGTCTGCTAAATGGCATATTATTATTATTATTAAAGTCGACTGCTGAACCGGTCGCAAACAACAGGTCAGCTGCACACAGAAGCGACCTCTCGCGGAGGAATCTCTGCGGGGTCGCTTTCAACAAACGACTGAACATAGACCTACTCATTATCGCTCTACATACTGCAGTGATTTTGACTGAGTTCAAAACCATCTGACAATTCTTTCTTAGAATTACAGGGTTTTATAGGGACCATTAATACGTCAAAGTCTTCCATAAGTCATGGTTGGCTATGTCACAATGGGATAAACATGTTTATCAAACTGATTAAAAAACACTCAACAGTGACATCAATTAAATTGAATTTTGAGCATGATTTGGGAGTTTATACAATTGTAAACTATGAAACCATTGTTTAGAGAACAGTAGGAGTATAACCATTTAGAAAATACTGTATCTATGGCTCTGAGTAGGAGTAGAAGGGACAGCGTCACAATGCGCTCGCCATGGTTCTGAAAAAGAACGTTGCTGCGTTCATCAGCTCTGTGATGTTCTAGGCGGAGACACTCACTGAACCACTCACTTTCACGTTCAAGGTGTCAACGCGTTCAACCAACATGCATTGGACTAAAACATCATTCAAATAGTTACTAAAAAGCCTACAGATATGTTTTACATTATTATTTTAAATATCCTGCATAAATCAGCTGAGATAGCCTACTCTTCTCATCTCTTCGCCCTCCTGCCCTGGTGGTTATATCTGAGCGTTTTGATAACTGATTGATAATTTGGATTATTCATATCCAAAGTGAAATGCTGATTGTGTCATATTTATAATGTAGGCCTAGTAGCCCACGTTTCATGACATAACCCTAATCCTAAAATAGACTAAAATTGAAACCCTGGGCGAGCACACAAGCTCTGGCTGTACAGCCGGCAACAATAATACATCCAAAGAGGGTGGCTGTTGAGGAAAACCAGTACACCAACACAAATCTTCATTAGGAGATAAAAGTAATCAGAGGCTAAAAGAAAATGGCAGACAATAGAAATCGAATGCGTATGTTACGGCTGGTTAGTGTTTTAATTACGAAGGACTCCCACAAATCTATTGCCTCTCTAAAAAACGGTAGGCTGCATATTGGTGGTCAAAGTGGTCGAAACGGTGTAGTGATCCTCGCTAATACAGTGAGCCACATTACAATTCTGACCAAGTGGGTTAAATCTGTTGGAGCGATGCGTAGGGTGTGTGCCTTTCACGCATGTAACCTGGGTTCGCTTCCCCGCCCCTTGTTTGCTACACTATTTTAGGAAAGGGACATCTTCATGACCAACAATCTATCTCTAAAAACGTTTGTGAAAAAAGTTTGGTCAGTCTGTGAAAGTTAGAAAAGGTTGGTTAGTCTGTGAAAGTTAGAAACTTCCAGCAGGAATTGACAGTCATCAGTCAAGGTGGTTGGATTATATAGCTACAGTGGTGCTATGGTTCCAAAAGTGCTGGTGATAAAATTAACATTACTGGCATACACATTACAAAACAAAAGCCTATGATCAGGTATGGAGTTTTGGAAATGTTGTTAAACCCAACAGTCTATACTCTATAGCACAAAGTGTGATGTCCCCAATGATAAAATTGCATGTTACTCTAATTGTGAGATGTGTTACAGTTTACAATAGGCTACTTGGGTCTACTATACCTTCATCCTTTATTAAAGCATTCGGTTGCTAGCATTATCTCCACAAGCAAGGGTATCCTGGGGAAAGACAAATCTTCTCCTCCCAGTAGACGAACTGGATCAAAGCCAGTAGCCTCCAACATTACTGCTAGATAGCCATGTAAACACGAACCTCTGTGGCAGAGCTAAAGCTCATCTGAGATCTTGCATAGGCTGCTGTTTACCATAATCAGGATATTTTTTTACAAACCTTGGCGATACTTTCTTTGTTCTCGATTCGGAAGAAACTTGTCTCTTATGAACATCTGTGTGCAGTTGCAGGTGGAACTCCAAAAAACAGAGAATATTCAGAAAAATATTAAATCCACTTTTTGTATTGAGCGATAAATACCGCTTTCATATGTGTAGATCTTTCTTTTGGTCGCACTGTGGGAAGTGCTGTCATCAAGGCTACTTCTACAAGCGGCCGCAGCCGCTTCGCATAGAAACGACTAGTTACTGCAACGGTGTTGGGAAATGTGAGATGTGCACAGCTAAAATGCCGAGGACTGTGCAAAAGGTGGATTTAATATATTTTTTGTCGAATTTTCTCTAGTTTTTGGAGTATGCTACCTGTAACTGCACACAGACGTTTATAAGAGACACATTTCTTCCTAGGTTAGGGGTCTATAATTGTAAAATAAATGTGTTTGATTGAATAACTAGCCAAATCTAACTATCGTGGTCATACATCTGGACTCTTCATCATCATCATCATCAACACTTTGAATTACTAAGGAATATTCCTATAGCAACTGGTTGCTAGGGGAAACGAGACACTAGCATTATCCTCTTGTTGTGAGACTGAGAGGGAGGATTGGAGAAGTGCACGAGGAGGGGTGGGAAGCAGAGAAGACGGAGCATGGTTGAAATTCCACCAAATGGATAAGAAGAGGCAGACAAAGTTTGACACATTTATGTTTTCAGTGGTTGACCGACACGAATGAACGAGTAAACCTTGTTTTAGCCTAGTGAAGTATCACAAATTAATACCTCAGTATTAATTATCCACTGCACGGAATCTCCATGAGGGCACAAGTCTGCATGACAATTTTCGCGTAAAGAGAGGCAGCGCGGGAGAGCTGACTTGTCGCCTGGCAGGTATGTTCTGCTATTTTGAATAAAGCTAGCCATACAGCTAATATAAGTTTTAGGCTATTATTAATTTCGTATAGCTAACTAAATAAATGAAGCTATCTAACAGCAATGCTGTTGTGGGCTTACACATGTAATAATTACAACCAGGAGCCTATAATGGAGGAAGTCAGCTTTTCAGTCAGTCCTATCATTTATATTGAAAATAGGTTATTATAACACAAGGTAAACACACATTTACAATAATTGTTAGGTCTATGTTATTAGCCAAAAATTTACTGATACAAGTACAGAAACATTCATAGCCAGAGGCAACCTAGGCTACACTGCAATTAACACTATACTTATTATACACGCTATGTTCTACAGTGCTGATTCTAAGAACAGGGTTAATTCCCATAAAGTATTAGTATCTCTGTCTCTATCACATACATGCATGGCCAAGGAAGATAGGTTGCATAAACAGATACAAATATAGAGCGATAAGGCGCAAGGGGGACAGGGGAAGAGAATAAACAGTGAGAGGGCAAGAATTGGTGAGTACGCTCTGTCCTGCAAATGCCAGAGCACATCAGCGCCGGAGCTACATCTAGTTTGATGTAAGGAAGTAGCCTACTCGATTGCCTATCCAGGGGCCTTGTATGTGATCAGACCTGTTGAAGGTGGGGTTCGTGTGTGAATGTGAGTATGAAAGTGTGAGTATGTATAGCTGTAAGTATGAGAACGTATCAGTGTAAACTAGGGGTGTTTTAACAACGATTCGATTTGTATCACGATTCGTGGTTGTCGATACGATTCAAGGACGATATTGGTTCATTTAGAACGATACGATCCGAAACGATTCAGTGACTTGAAATCGATTCAGTAACCTTTTAGCCAAAAATTCAACCAGTGTGACTGAAATAAATACCTGGATACTGGACAGTGCAGGTGAAGTTTCCTAGATTCCTGTTTCTTGTAATGGAATCAGGTATCAATTAATTATGAATATAAATAAACAAGTAAACAACAATGAATGGCAAATGCATTCACATTTTATTTGAATAAAGTGCAAACAACACTTTAGGTTGAATTAACAGGAAGTTAAAATTGTCTGATCTCATTTTCAATATTCAATACATTTTCAATAAAAGTACAGTAAGTGCAACCAACATTTCAACAGTAGGTTTACCTGCTACTTCTGCTTTTGTTTTTCAACATAAAAATATTACAATATTAATATCAAAAATAAAGTGCAACCAACATCTCTTCAGGTTGAATTAACAGTAGGTTTACCTGCTACTTCTGCTTTTGTTTTTCAACATAAAAATATTACAATATTAATATCAAAAATAAAGTGCAACCAACATCTCTTCAGGTTGAATAAAGAGTAGGTTTACCTGCTACTTCTGCTTTTGTTTTTCAACATTACAATACAAATACAGTATTAATATCAAAAATAAAGTGCAACCAACATCTCTTCAGGTTGAATTAACAGTAGGTTTACCTGCTACTTCTGCTTTTGTTTTTCAACATTACAATACAAATACAGTATTAATATCAAAAATAAAGTGCAACCAACATTTCTTCAGGTTGAATGAGCAGTGGATGAACCTGCTACTACTCTCATTTTAATAAACAAACAA